ATATATAACGGATAGTAACCAGTCCTACTATCATTGTATACACATGGTATATATAACGGATAGTAACCAATCCTACTATTATTGTATACACACGGTATATATAACGGAAAGTAACCAGTCCTACTATTATTTTATACACACGGTATATAAAACGGACAGTAACCAGTCCTACTATCATTGTATACACACGGTATATATAACGGATAGTATCTATTCCTACTACCTATCATTGTCTACACACGGTTTATATAACCGATAGTAACCATTCCTACTATCATTGTATACACAAGGGATATATAACGGATAGTAACCAGTGCTACTATCATTGTATACACACGGTATATATAACGGATAGTATCTATTCCTACTACCTATCATTGTCTACACACGGTATATATAACGGATAGTATCTAGTCTTACTATCATTGTATACACACGGTATATATAACGGATAGTATCTAGTCCTACTATCATTGTCTACACACGGTATATATAACGGATAGTATATCGTCATATTACGTATCATTGTCTACACACTGTATATATAACGGATAGTAGCCAGTTCTACTATCATTGTCTACACACGATATATATAACGGATAGTAACCAGTCCTACTATTATTGTATACACACGGTATATATAACGGATAATAACCAGTCCTACTATCATTGTATACACACGGTATATATAACGGATAGTATCTAGTCCTACTATCATTGTTTACAAACGGTATATATAACGGATAGTAACCAGTCGTACTATCATTTTTTACACACGGTATATATGATTCACAGTAATCTGCAATACTATTGTTGTCTACACACGGTATATATAACGGATAAAAACCAGTCCTACTATCATTGTATACACATGGTATATATAACGGATAGTAACCAGTCCTACTATCATTGTATACACACGGTATATATAACGGATAGTAACCAGTCCTACCATCATTGTCTACACACGGTATATATAACGGATAGTAACCATCCTACTACCATTGTATACACACGGTATATATAACGGATAGTAACCAGTCCTACTATCATTGTATACACATGGTATATATAACGGATAGTAACCAGTCCTACTATTATTGTATACACACGGTATATATAACGGATAATAACCAGTACTACTATCATTGTATACACACGGTATATATAACGGATCGTAACCAGTCTTACTATCATTGTCTACACACGGTATATATGATTCACAGTAATCTGCAATACTATTGTTGTCTACACACGGTATATATAACTCACAGTAATCTGACGTACTATCGTTGTCTACACAAGGTATTATCATTGTCTTCATATGATATATGTAACTGAAATAAACCAGTCCTACTATCATTGTATACACACGGTATATATAACGGATCGTAACCAGTCTTACTATCATTGTCTACACACGGTTTATATAACGGATAGTGTATATATAACGGATAGTAACCAGTCCTACTATCATTGTCCAAACACGGTATATATAACGGATAGTATATCGTCATATTACGTATCATTGTCTACTACTATCATTGTATAAACACGGTATATATAACGGATAGTATATCGTCATATTACGTATCATTGTCTACTACTATCATTGTATAAACACGGTATATATAACGGATAGTAAACAGTCCTACTATCATTGTATACACATGGTATATATAACGGATAGTACCAGTCCTACGATCATTGTATACACACGGTATATATCTACTACGTATCATTGTTTCACACGGTATATATAACGGATAGTAAACAGTCCTACTATCATTGTATACACATGGTATATATAACGGATAGTACCAGTCCTACGATCATTGTATACACACGGTATATATAACGTATAGTAACCCGTCCTACTAACATTGTCTACACACGGTTTATATAACGGTTAGTAACCAGTCAAACTATCATTGTCTACACACGGTATTTATAACGGATAGTAACCAGTCCTACCATCATTGTATACACACGGTATATATAACGTATAGTAACCCGTCCTACTAACATTGTCTACACACGGTTTATATAACGGATAGTGTATATATAACGGATAGTAACCAGTCCTATCATTGTATACACACGGTATATATCTACTACGTATCATTGTTTCACACGGTATATATAACGGATAGTAACCAGTCCTATCATTGTATACACACGGTATATATAGCGTATAGTAACCCGTCCTACTATCATTGTCTACACACGGTTTATATAACCGATAGTAACCAGTCCTACTATCATTGTATACACACGGTATATATAAAGGATAGTAACCAGTATATATAACGGATAGTAACCAGTCTTACCATCATTGTCTACACACGGTATATATACCTGACAGTTCCCTGTCCTACTATCATTGTCTACACACGGGTTATATAACCGATAGTAACCAGTCCGACTATCATTGTATACACACGGTTTATATAACGGATAGTAACCAGTCCTATCATTGTATACACACGGTTTATATAACGGATAGTAACCAGTCCTATCATTGTATACACACGGTTTATATAACGGATAGTAACCAGTCTTACCATCATTGTCTACACACGGTATATATACCTGACAGTTACCTGTCCTACTATATAACGGATAGTAACCAGTCCTACTATCATTGTCTACACACGGTGTATATAACGGATAGTAAACAGTCCTACTATCATTGTAAACACACGGTATATATAACGGATAGTAACCAGTCCTACTATCATTGTCTACACACGGTATATATAACGGATAGTAACCAGTCCTACTAACATTGTATACACACGGTATATATAACGGATAGTATCTAGTTCTACTATCATTGTTTACACACGGTCTATATAACGGATAGTAACCAGTCGTACTATCATTGTTTACACACGGTATATATGATTCACAGTAATTTGCAATACTATTGTTGTCTACACACGGTATATATGACTCACAGTAATCTGACGTACTACCGTTGTCTACACAAGGGATTATCATTGTCTTCATATGATATATGTAACTGAAATAAACCAGTTCTACTATCATTGTCCACACACGGTATGATTAACTAACGGTAACAAGCCCTATAATTATCTACACATGGTATACATACAGTTACCAGTCCTACTATTATGTCTACACACAGTAATATATCACTGACAAAAACAAATTCTACTATCATGGTCCACACGGTATGTATAACTGACAGTTACAAGACCTGCTACCATGTCTTCACACGGTATATATACCTGACAGTTACCTGTCCTACTATCATTGTCCACACACAGTATGTATAACTGACAGTTACCTGTCCTACTATCATTGTCCACACACGGTATGTATACACACGGTTTATTTACATAACGGATAGTATCTAGTCCTAGTGTCATAGCCTACATACGGTATATATAACAAACAGTAGCCAGTCCTTCTATCATTGTATACACACGGTATATATAACGGATAGTATCTAGTCCTACTATCATTGTATACACACGGTATATATAACGGATAGTAGTCAGTCCTACTATCATTGTCTACATACGGCATTTATAACTAACAGTAGCCAGTCCTTCTATAATTGTATACACACGGTATATATAACGGATAGTAACCAGTCCTACTATCATTGTCCAAACACGGTATATATAACGGATAGTAACCAGTCCTACTATCATTGTATCCACACGGTATATATAACTGACAGTTACCAGTCTTGCTATCATTGTCTACACACGGTATATTGTATCAAACAGTAGCCAGTCCTACTATCATCGTCCACACACGGCATATAAAACTGATCAGAACCTGTCCTACTATCATTGTCCACACACGGTATATATAACTGACAGTTACCAGCCCTACTTTCATTGTCTACCCACGGTTTGTATAACTGACAGTTACCAGCCCTACTATCATTGTATACACACATGGTACATATGTATACCTGACGGTTACTAGTCGAACTTTCATGGTTTACACACGGTATGTATAACTGACAGTTACCAGTCCAACTACCATGGTCTACACACGGTATGTATAACTGGCAGTAACCAGTCCAACTATCATGGTCTACACACGGTATGCATAACTGACAGTTACCAGTCCAACTACCATGGTCTACACATGGTATGTATAACTGACAGGGCTCATTCATGGCTAGTTGACGGCTAACTGACTATACTCCCAGACTTATATAGCTATAGCCCTCATTCTAAAGTTGAGCTTGTAAGAGTTGAGGGCTACCTCATTTGTATGGCAAATCGCCATATAGCCCTCAACTGCAAAGCTCAACTAGTGGCTGGCTAGTGGCTAGTTAAGCAATTCCAGTTAGCCATCCTATCACTTTTTCTGTATGGGTACACACGGTATATATACCTGACAGTTACCTGTCCTACTATCATTGTCTACACACGGTATAATAACTGGCAGTAACACGTCCTGCTATCATTGTCTACACACGGAATATATACTTGACAGTTACCTGTCCTACTATCATTGTCTACACACGGTATAATAACTGACAGTAACACGTCCTGCTATCATTGTCTACACACGGTATATATACCTGACAGTTACCTGTCCTACTATCATTGTCTACACACGGTATAATAACTGATCGTAACCAGTCCTACTATCATTGTATACACACGACATACATACCTGACAGTTACCTGTCCTACTATTATTGTATACACACGGTATGTATAACTAACAGTTACAAGACCACCTATCATGTCTTCACACGGTATATATACCTGACAGTTACCTGTCCTACTATCATCGTCTAGACACTATATGTATACACACTGTATATATACCTGATAGTAGCCAGTCCTATTAGTGACCGTCCCGCTATGATATAGTACTTTGATATCCACAAACCTTTGTGCCTTTTGTAATATTGATTTGTACATGAAAATGTTGCTTGGCTCAGGAACAATATATAATACAGAAAATCAATCCCAACGTAGCTGCTGCAGTGAAATAAAAACACTGCCTTAGCTAACGTGTTGTAATACAGAGGGTTGTTAGCGAAACATGGGTCGCTACCTTAGTATTATTTGTACACATTTCTCGGCAAAAGATGTGTTGAAATAGAGGAATCTAACTGTTACTCTTCGTTGAATTTTGAATGAGGGAAACTAATTATGTCTAGCTCAATCCCGCCTCGTGCCAGGCTTTGAACACGGCGCTGGATATTGATCGTAAATTCTATATGGCTCGCTCTCCACATACGATGTTTTAATGAGAAACAGCGACAACCGGCGAAGCGCCGTTTCTCAGCGCTTGTATTTCTCCGACAGCGGCAGGCTAGCAATGGATACTGACTACGAACGCACGCGGCTATTCGAGATCAACAGTAGGGAGGTCTACTAAGAAACACGACAGCATGCAAACAACTTCTTGAAACCGAAATTCATGTGATTCTACCGATTCTTTGGAAATATGTTTTAAATTGTTGTGCATTCGAGGAGAGCAATGGCTACCGGGTAAACAAGGGATGGATCTAAAGAGATATGTGAATACATTACTGAACACACACAGCTGGGATCCGTACGGTACTACCTTGTACACGGAGAATGACATGCATTAGCAACTGTCAAGGTATGGTTAGGATATATTCTATTGTCTTTGGGCCTGTGGAAGTCACGCTTTTCTAAACGATGTTTGTACTGTAATTTAACCTGTCTCTAAGATTTAAAACGGCGTAATTTCTTCATTTATTCTACATTTTTCGCCTAATACTGTTCACCTTAAATATTCAAAATTGTATTCCTTCAGAATTTTGATTTTATTACGTCATCCAAGGCGAACGTCATGGCTTCTGTTGCCGCCTGGTTGCCATTTGCCCGGGCATCGGCCATCGGGTGGGTGCCCGTAGCACAGAACCCCCTCCCCCAGCCAGTGGTGCGAGCGGAAAATAGGAGGGGAGACGAGAAACTCACGCTCAATATCAGTGGCAGAAAGTTCGAAACCTGGCGAACGACGGTGGAAAAATATCCGGACACTCTTCTGGGTTCCAATGAAAAAGAATTTTTCTTCGATGATGACTCAAAGGATTACTTTTTCGACCGGGATCCCGAATTTTTTCGACACATTCTTAACTACTACAGAACAGGGAAATTACATTATCCAAAACATGAATGCATATCAGCTTACGATGAGGAACTTGCTTTCTTTGGGATTATGCCGGACCTCATTGGTGACTGTTGCTATGAGGATTACAGGGACAGACGGCGTGAAAATACGGAAAGACTTTTAGATGATGCAAATTCGGAAAACGCGGACATTGACCCAGCCACTAACCTCAGGGAGCGGCTATGGAGGGCATTCGAGAACCCCCACGTTGGGACTGCAGCTTTGGTATTTTATTATGTCACAGGCTTTTTTATCGCCGTTTCCGTTATGGCCAATGTAATAGAAACCATACCATGTGGTCAGAAACCGGGGACGGACGAAACCCCATCATGTGGAGAACGTTTTGAAATCGCTTTTTTCTGCTTGGACACTGCATGTGTGATGATCTTTACGGCCGAGTACCTGCTCCGGTTGTATGCTGCACCCGACCGCTGCAAATTTATGCGAAGTGTCATGAGCGTAATAGATGTAGTTGCAATTCTTCCGTATTACATTGGGCTTGTTATAACAGACAACGATGATGTTAGTGGCGCATTTGTGACACTCAGAGTATTCCGAGTTTTTAGGATCTTTAAATTCTCTCGCCATTCACAGGGATTACGAATTCTTGGATACACTTTAAAAAGTTGTGCAAGCGAGTTAGGCTTCTTGCTTTTTTCGCTAACAATGGCTATAATTATATTTGCTACAGTGATGTTTTACGCGGAAAAGAATGTGACCAACACGCGATTTACCAGTATTCCTGCAGCGTTCTGGTACACAATCGTTACCATGACAACGCTAGGGTAAGTACTATAGTCAATATATGTATATATATTTATATAACAACCCCCTCATATCGCATACAGTACATATAGCTGTTAACGTACGTGGTTTCAGCATTGCTAATATTTTGGGACGTATCCCATCGTTTTAAGACAACGACATTTCTATGTACATTATACTCCATCCAGACCTAATCCGATTACCAAAGCAGTCTGGTTCGCCTTCATATTATATACATTGTAGGATAAAAAAAAAACAGAATGCTTTATGTTGCACCGATGCGTACGCACGCAGTCTTTATAAACATACGCCAAAACTACCGTTACACACACAATACACAGCGAAATGTCGTATTAATGCAAATATACCTAAAGCGATGAGACTATCATCCAATATCTGACACACGGAATAGTCTGACTAGAACAGGAAGGAAATTTCCTGACATAACTATCGTAAAAAAGTCTATATTTAGCACGCCATTTTGATCGATTCCTGGTTGTGTTGCGTCACGTGATAAATTTATTGTTAAGTGTCTGCAAAACATATTGATGTGGCAACGCTATGCATTCATGTCGCTAATTAAACTGTAATATAATGGGTTCCTATGGTAACATTTGATGAAATTTAATTGACAATTCCATGACAACAGGGCAATATACATCACCTCTATATAGTGACGTCAGAGTGACATCACACCAAAAGGTCAATGGATCACAATGGCGTCAGCAACATCTTATCATATGCATGCCATTTCTCTGTACGATTCTTACAGCGTATACTATATAAAATTATCCCAGCATTCATAATACTGTCGCGCTAACGAATGGCAAGAGTATATGCATATATATATGTCCTGGTCGATATTTACCGCTCATCGACACACATACACTATAAGACCATTAGATCATATGGGGCTTAAAACACCGCAGGTCTGTCGGTCACATTTTGGTCAAGTGGTCAGTATGGACACCAACTATGCGTCCAAAATAGATCTATAGACTTTATTATATCTATCTACAAGATCAGCCTATATTGCTATGCACCGGTTGACCGATAATTTTCAACAAAGGAATATTGATGTGGTGGAGCTACACAGGTTGTTGTAACAGTGCTGTATATATACAAGGTTTTAGGCTTCCATCGCTTCGTGCCAACCAGGTGGTTCGGCAACCTCCAAACTACGTGCACGTGCGCACGTGATAGTGAAGGAGGAGGAGGAGATGTACACCTTGATGCATGTGTACACATTGCGCATCATATACTCTAAACATCGCGACATTTTTTTTATATAATTGCATGTCGGTTAACGCACTTCATTTTACAACGTTGTAAGTTTCAGTTGTAGATATCATCGAAAGTTACATTATATTTCAATTGCCGTGTTGCCGTGGTTACCTGGACGCATGCTATATGAGTTAGTGTGTGCGGTATTCTGATTGGGACCCAAGTACGATCACTGGCTTGCATTACGAGGGATGTAGTACCGATGTGTACCAGGTTACTCTTAGAGAGGGGATGAGTGGAAGTGGATCAGCTAACAACCCCGTCATACGTTAGGTCCAGAATGCAATACATGCCGTGCATTGTCGGCATAGAGTTTAGGTGTACTAGCGCCCCGAATAGTGACTGGTTGAGATATTACCCCTCACGCTTATTACACTACTATATACACATATGATCGAACTACAGACATCATGAAAATCATGAGTTACATCTTAATCTGGTGGTTCCGGTTCCGCATTGGCATGACTTTGATGAACGTAATATGACTTCGGTTGATTTGACCTTGAGGTATACTTCATGTACATATGATATGTAATCAGTTTCATTTTGGTAACCTAGTGTTTTTAAATTGACATAGATATAGTTTGAAGAATGTATATATATATCACGTTGCTGTACATAGCACAACATATTACTTTGATGTATAAAGTATCATTTTGATGAACATGGTATTACTTTAGGTGTACATACAGTAAAAAAAAATTGATGACGTAAGTGTGTTCAAAATAAGGCAGGTACATGTACGCAGGGTATTGTGTAGCCTCACGATTTCACCTACAATCACCCAACCTCAAATCCCGACAACCAACCGCATCCAGACTGTTATCCATCATATCCACACCCTAAACCACACGCCACGCCCACAACGTCGCCACACACACACACAAACAACCCACAACATCACAACAAGTCCTGTCTGCAATGTCACCACAAGCCCAGACTACAACGTCACCACAAGCCCCGCCAACAACGTCTCAACAAGCCCCTCCCACAACGTCACCACAAGCCCCGCCCACAACGTCACCGCAGGCTCTGTTTCCAACGACGCCTCACTCACACCACATGCTCTGCTCACAACGTTCATGGCATTCCCCGCATTAAAGCACTAAAGCATTAACTAGATACCCGTTCACAGCCTACATCACACTCCCCATCTACATGTACAACTTCCTTCACCACATGCTCCGCCCAAAACGCAAATCATACACCCTGCCCCTCACACCCCCTACATACACTTCTTTCACCACACACTTCGCCCTCATCCTCCATCAAAAACACTCCGCCCTTTTGTCTATCATACACCCTGCCCGCAATGATCATAGCACAGGTCAATTTACAGCATATACTAAAATCCTCGCCCTCAGCATCAAGCAAAAGTACCCTTCAAAACCTACCCCACACCCCACAACCCACCCACAGCCTACACCAGACATGACCGTCACAACATCAACCAAATGTCTCTATTCACTTCTTTCATAATACCACCCTGTTATCCTAGGTATCCTGTATGTATAGTACATTAACGTCCCTCCTATAACCCACAAAAAACCATGACACTCGTCAGGTACATCATTCCACTACCACTACCTAGATTTCTATCACTCTTTCTATCCAGAACCTAAGTAAAAAATGTTCCTTTTCTGCCATCTCTCAAAACCTCCATGCCGCCCACAAGTCCATTGAACTTTGACTTCCAATATATATCATCGTCCATCCCAAGCAGAAATCCTATTACTGACATCCGTCACATATCTCCTCAGGACCTCCGTCACATATCTCCCTAGAACCTCCGTCACATATCTCCCCAGGACCTCCGTCACATATCTCCCTAGGACCTCCGTCACATATCTCTCTAGGACTTCCGTCACATATCTCCCTAGGACTTCCGTCACATATCTCCCTAGGACCTCCGTCACATATCTCCCTAGGGCCTCCGTCACATATCTCCCTAGGACCTCCGTCACATATCTCCCTAGGACTTCCGTCACATATCTCCCCAGGACCTCCGTCACATATCTCCCCAAGGCTTCCGGCGCCACACTACGACATCTAAATTTCCCGCTGGTAAAGTTAAAAATATATCAATTGAAAGTGTAAGATGGTTCAATATACCAAGAAAAGAGATGATGTGTAATGTTTATGTAATCTAGTTGACACAGATGACGAATTCCATTATTTATTGAACTGTACTAAAGGATTAATGCCCACAAGTATAGAAGAAAGCATATGTGTAAATATTACTTTGAAGACCAAACGCAGTTCGCTTGATTCATCTTCATAATCAACAATGAATTGATATCAATGCCGACATTTCTTATAGATGTTAACTAGATAATTCGTTACACTACTATCTATCCCGTTCAACCATGTAACACTACTCAACCATTTGTATGTTCATACTCTCTTCACTTAACTGTTGATGAGAATAAGATAGGTATTGGCACCACCGTGACTCCTACAACATCAACCACCTATACCATTCACGACTGCCATACATGGAATAACTATTTTCTTTATATCTATACATGCCAGTGTAAGATAATATGGCGCTTTCTTATATCTTTTATCAAGGCATATGTATCTATGATAATCGGTGTGGAATTGATAGAATTTTCCCCTGCCGGGAAGGTATGACGGAACAATCTTAGCCCGAAGGGTGATATTCTTGGTAGTCATACCCGAGGCTTGCTTCAAAGCCAAGAGTTATGCAGTCGAAAACCTCATCTCGAGGGTTGAGATTTCTCTGGCAAACCCTCAGCGTAGGGGATGCTTCTTTATCATTCCTCCTATCAATTATATATATCCCCATCAATGGTTATCAGCATTTGAAAGGATTTTCCTTCCTGATTCGCACGTTTTTTTCTCTCGTGTAAAGCAGATTGTGACGTCATATTTTCTTGTTTCCGTGAAGTCCTTTTTATTGTCCTCTGTTCGATTAAGTTAATATGACGTTAAGAATTATGTTTGCCTTTATGACTCGTATATCTCTTGAGCTATCCCATGCTTCTAGAGGGTGAAAAGCTGTTTTTTTCATCAGCTGCAACGGGAGACATGGGAAGGATGGGGAAATTCCCAGCCTCACCCTAAGGTGATACCCTGCACGCTTTATGTGACGTTACAATGAAAGCAATTAAAAGACGTCACATTTTACAATAAGATGACGTCATAATATAGATTGGTACTTGGCGTAAAAAGCAGTCATTTTCTCAAGAGCAATGCTTTTACGGGAAAACATATTATTTTTTAGATATACCTCGTGTTTTCTCTCATATTTAATCCTGAGGGATTGCGTCACTTTATTATTTTTCGCCACGACCTCATAACATGTTATATCAATGACCGGTATCACATATCTCGCCTAAATAGCCATCACATTTCCAATCCATTACCTCAATATGTATTACACCCTTGACAAACTTAATTTGTATCTCGCCCATTACCTCGCTTATCTGTCTTCCCTGACAAATACCCGTACTTTATCTCCCACCCTCTCCCCGACCTCTCCCCTCTCCAATCTGTCCCATCTTATCCTTTCCATTTCCTTTGTCCTTCCATATCCTCATTCCCCACCCAATTACGTACTCTTAACCCACCCTAATCCCAACCTCTATGCTTTCCAACCTTTACCTTCCTTCCCTCTCCTTTTCCATTTTCCTATCCTCCCTTCTCGCCCTTCCTAACGTCTCCTTCTTCCACTGGTGTCTATATCTACCTTACCCCTTCCATTCCAGCCTCC